AACCGGGGGGCCACACCGGGCCGCCCCCGGTGGGGGGGGGGGGGTGTCTCCCTGTCACCCTCCTCGCCGCAGCCACCCCTCCGCAGGGACACCGAGGTCCCAGCCTTGCTCTGTCATCTGCCATCACGTTCCCCCCATGTCCCAGAAATGTCACACTCCCCACGTCGCCATGCCCCGGTGCCCCAGAGCCCCTGCGCTGTCACACCCCCTGTGTCCTGATTTCCCCATGTCATCGTGTCCCCCAACCACGTGCCACCATGTCCCCGTGACCCCGAAACCCCTCTGCATCGCACCCCCGAGCGGAGTGCCACCTCCTCCCCGTGTCCCCCAGCCCCGTGCCACCATGTCCCTGTGTCCCCTAGCCCCCGCGCCATCACATCCCTTAGCCACACGCCACTGCGTCCATGTCCCCCAGCCCTGTGGCCACCATGTCCCCATGTCCCCCAGCCCTGTGGCACCCTGTCCCGATGTCCCCTGTCCCCATGCCAATGCACCCCCATGTCCCCCAGCCCCATGCCACTGTGTCCCCATGTCCCCACCCTCATGCCACCGCATGTCCCTCTGCCTCCATGCCATGACGTTACCTCATCCGCATGTCACCATGCCCCCGTGTCCCATCACCCCCATGCCATCATGTCCCCCCTGTCCCCATACCACCACATCCCCATATCCCCTGCCCCCAGACCACTGTGTCCCCATGTCCTGTCACCCCTACATCATCATGTCCCCCAGCCCCGTGTCACCACATCTGATCTCCCCACCACATCCCCGTGTCCCATAGCCACCATGCCACCATGTCCCCCAGCCCCATGCCATCACATCCCCATGTTCATTGTCCCCATGTCACTGTGTCCACATGTCCCCTGTCCCCATGCCACCACATCCCCGTGTCCTGTCACTCCTATGCCATCACATCTCCTAGCCTCATGCCACCACATCCCTATGTCCCCTGTCCCCATGCCACTTGTACCCCCATGTCCCACTGCCCCCACACCATGTTGTCCCCCGTGCCACCGCATCCCCAAGTCCCTTGTCCGCATGCCACTGTGTCCCCATGTCCTCTGTCTCTGTGCCACCACATCCCCATGTCCTCCAGCCTCATGCCACCACATCGCTGTGTCCCCACGTCTTGTCACCACCATACCATCACGTCCCCAGCCCCGTGCCACTGCATCCAATGTCCCCTGTCCCCACGCCACTCCAACCTCATGTTCTGTCGTCCCCAACACCATCATGTCCCCTAGCCCTGTGCCACCGCATCCCCATGTCCCCTAGCCCCATGCCACTGCTGCG